ATAATGGCGCTGGGAAACAGAGTATCAGGGGGCGGGTGTAGCCATTCATTTAAGACTTTTGGTCACTAGTAGATGCCTACAATGTCACATAATAAGTCAACAAACCTACTGAGTTGTGACACAGTCTAATCGAATACAGGTTGGAGGTAACGAGCGGCACCTAGCAAGCTCTAGATGTGCTTCGAGATGCATGAAGCCTACAACGACTATCTGCTGCCAAAAAGTGGTGAGGAGCGTAAGGGGAAAGACAAATAACGGCACTAGGAGAAAGTGATAAGGGTCCAGCAGTGGCATTTTGAAATAAACCTTCAGTTACTTGTGGATAGCTACAGTGTCACAGAATAGGCCACTAAACCAGCAGAGGGGTGATGCCAATATTCCAAGAGAATAAATGTTGGAGGTAAGGAGCAGCTCCTAACGAGTTCCGGATATATGCAGCCATGCATGGAGCCTATGGCAACTGGCTGTTTCTAAAAAGATGTGCAGAAGGTGAGCCAAACTACCGATAATGGCACTGGTGGACAGCTTCACTTACCAGCAATGGCTGCCGGTTTAAGCTTTTAGTTACTAGTGGATACCTACAGTGTCACAGAGTAATTCAACAATTCAGCAACTTTGTGAAACAAACGGTCCAAGAGCATAAAGTTTGGAGATAGGAGGTGGCTCCTAGCAATCTCCGGATATGCACAGGGGTGCACGGAGCCTAAGACGACTAGTTGCTGCCAAAAAGAGGTGACGAGAGCAAGGCTAACGACAGAGAACGGCGCTAAGAGAGAGAACAGCGGCCTACAATTGTATCCGGAGTAAGCTTTCAGTCACTATTGGGTGCCTACAGTTTGCACCAAAACAGGAAGGCCACTTTAATTTATAACATCATTCTTGCAAAATTATGCTATGTTATGGTAGAATACCAAGGAATAGGTTTGCGCAACGTTGCTTGCATGATTTAGTTCCTTGCCAGTTTTCCTTCATTCCGTGCTCGCAAGACAGTAGCAAGCTAGCACACTGCTTACGTGGTCTCTATTAACTATAGAAGCACCCAGATTAAGCAAATAAGGACTCTTATCTTCTGGTTCACGTAGTTTAACGTGTTGTTTGGTGGTGATTTACTGCATAAAATTGCACATACACCTTGCCGTTAGGCGGAAATACGTGATAGGACATAATGTAGTTTGAATGCCCGCCTTTCTCTGCTCCGCCGCGCGCGTTCCAAAGTTCGCGGGCAGAAAAATGCCCTGCCACCACCAAAGTACCATAAAGAAGTCAAAGGGGTTGTTTAAACAAAACGTTGATGCGTTGTAGATTTTCGACTTAAGAAAATGCTATGTTACCGTGAGTTAGCATAATCAACAGACGCGATCGCTACAAGATTGTTAACTATCTCGTTGAAACACAGGATCCCAAAGCTGCTAAAGTAACATTCCACTTTTCTTATATATTTAGAATTAGGGTTGTTCGAAAACGTTGTTACCACGATTAGTCTTGATATCGTGCTGGTTAGAACCCGTTTAAAGGCGAGGATTCGCTGTTCGGCCCTATTGTCAAGTTCAAGTTCAAGTTCAATTTGGTCAGGAACGGTAGGAAAATTCGCGTATGCTTTCCTTTTTCAACGCGTCGTTGAACCAGAATGGAGTTCGCGGGAGCGATTTGGAACCGAGCAGAGCCAAATCAATATACACTAATCACATAACGGTCAACCAAGTAATACCCACGCGGCCTGCACTAGAAGTCCCCGCTGTACAGGCCACGTGCATAGAATAAAGGTTAAGAGAAGGGAATCAACAAAAACAAAATGAGGATAATTGTAGTACAGGAGAGAATGTGTGGATAAGACATTATAGTAAAAGATGTGAAGCCAAGGAAACGGATGGAAGTTAAGAACCAAAGGGAAAAGCCTGAACTTGCAACCCATGGGCGTTGAGTCGTTGTTCAAACTCCTTCATCGTGGATGCTAATACTACTTCGCTGTGTAATGCGTTCCATGTGTCGATTACCCGGCGTGATAAACGAAGCCAGCTTTAAAGTGAACAGATATGGTCTTATGCTGCTTCACAGGGTGACCACGAGGAGGTAATATCTGGGCCGGATGGAACAGTCCAATTATATCAGGCCCAATCTTGCTGGTCACTATACGGTACGTAGGAATCAGGGCTCCCCGAAGGCGCCTATAGTGCAGCGAGAACGTCTGCAACCTGAGCAGCCAATCAGGATACGAGTGATGCCTCTATCCTTGTACCATTTTTGTAACCAACATTTAGAACTCGTTCAAGTGTCATCTTGTTGCGTACCAAGCATGAAGGACAGGCCTTCACACAGTACTCCAAGTATGGACCGACAGAGGCTGAGAACAATGTAGCAAACATTACATTTGTTGTAATGCCGAACGACCTGCTGTTCATCCACAGCATTCGGAAACACTTGCGGGTAGCATTTGTCAAGTACTTGTTGGATTTGCAGTCAGCGGACAGCAAGACTCCCTAGTCAGTTTGTTTAGTCACTTGACGCAATAATTTCCGCCAAGTACGTAAGGAGTTGTGGAAGTGCTTGATCCTATGCGCAGGACCGAGCACCTTGTAAGCTTGACTGGCAGCTGCCACAATTCTGACCACTCCCAAAGCTTGTCAAGAGCTGTCTGCAAAGCCGTGGGCCCAACAGAATCGCTTACTGTATTCCAAAATTTTAAGTCATCCGCAAACATGAGGGAGGGTACCTTAAGATTCTCAGGGAGGTCATTGCCATACAATGCAAACTATGGAGGTCCGAGAACAAACAGTTGAGGAACACCACTCAGGACGGCTTATCTGAAATACAGCCCATAACCCACAAGAACGCTCATCTGCCTTCATTCCAGGAAAGCCGAAATCCACTTCAATACTTGGCCTGAAACGCCGTAGGATTCTAGTTTATACAAAATACGGCAACACGGCACGGTGTCACAAGCTTTAGAAAAGTCCACCGCCTGTCCTTGCTCCACAGCACCAAACCAGCACTGGCGGGCTAGCAGCGTGTTAGTCAAACAGGAGTGGCCTCTGCAGAACCCATGATGAGGCAGGTTGAGCAAACTGAACTTAGCTAAGTGCTTCCCCAGAGCATCTCTTATCAGCTTCTCCAATACTTTCACTAGTACGCTTGTTAGGCTAACCGGTCTATAATATTCAGGTAAGATCTTATCACACGCTTTGAAAATAGGGCACACGATAACATCTCTCCATACAACAGGTAGCGAGCAGCTCCGAAGAGACTTCTCAAGGATAAATTTACTCTTTTTACACAGCCACTCAGCCAGCTGGTACAAAGTTTGGGACGGAGGGCATCTATACCGGCAGCTTTTGTGGGATTTAGGTCACGCAGGAGCTTGAGTACCTGAGCTTCCGAGATGGAAATGTCCATCAGAAAGGTGTCTACCGGTATTTTTGCTTGCAATTGGATATAAGGCAATGGATATTCATGAACAAACGACCCAGCATACTGTTCCGCAAGTAAGCAGACCTTATACTGATCGGTTGATACTTCAATGCCGTCAGGTCCAAAGAACACAGGGATAGGCGAATTTGCATTGCATCTCCGTTTGACATGACCAAAGAACCGTTTCGGGGTTACTGATGCGGATCGAGCTAGCGCTAGTTCATATCTCAAGCGTGCGGCCCGCATATGTTGTTCACATGCATTTCGCAAGCCTCGGTAGCGATGATGGGTACTTTCTGAGGGAGCTGATACGTAAGTCCTCCAGCACCTGGATCGCCTACTGAGCATCCTGCGCGCCTCAGAGTCAAACCAATGGGGCTTTTCCCCTGCTTTATTCCTCGTTGAGGTTGGAATGTGGGGGAGAGAAATCTCGCTAAGAAAGGATTTGAACTTGTTTCAAGCAACCTGGACGGTGTCATCCTCTGACACGATACAGGGTTGATTTGCAGCCTTGTCCCTGATGGCTTGAAAATCAGCGCGCCAGATATTTGAACTTCTGACAATACACTCTTCACGTCCCCGACTTAAGGCGCATTTGAATGAGAGGCTGACGTGATCACCAGAGCCCAAGGGAGAATCATACACTACATCTCGTACAAAGTCCAGCGATTTCGCAAAGATGAGGTCTAAAATGGAAGGCTTTTGACCCTGCATGATCCTAGTTGGCCTTTGTACAAACTGATGAAGGGATGCTTGTAAGGATAGGTCAAAGAGATCACTAGAAATACGTCCAGACGCTGCAGTGCAGAAATTGCGCCAATCAACCGCAGGGACATTAAAATCACCCATAACCAGACATCTATTTGTCTTATGAGTACGAATGAAATCAATTAGCCTGCCTGACTTACTTGCGGGGCTTCTGTATACCAACACAATTTTGAATTGCGTGAAAGAAGCGCAAACATCTACCGCAAGCGCCTCGGCAGTTACATCAGGGGAATTGAAAGAATATGTTCGTGAAATAGTCAAGGTGGATTTGACGTACAAAGCAACTCCACCTCCGCGACAGCATGAGGCGCGATCAGCTCGCAGAAGTGTATAGCCAGGCATATACATTTCACGGTCCAGCCACGTCTCAGTGCAAGCAAGTACGTCTGGGCTGGAACTTTCTACAAGAGTGCCAATCTCGCACATCTGGTTCCTCAGACTACGCACGTTGCTGCGGTCTAATTTAAGCAAATTGGGATCGTGAGCCGGGAATCGGGTGCCAACAGAACGGGCTTTGAAAGAGCGGAAGTAGACCTCCGGCTCACCACTCAAAAACCCACCAAGCGAAGACCAGTTTCACCCGCTTCGCGACGGGCTTTAAGGTCCTTTATGGCAGCCTTCAATTTTAACCTATTAGTCAATGGGAGGTCAGGTTAAAAACCTGACATTTTGTATGCTTTTTAATACTGGAGTTATGTACAAACTGTTTGAACATTTAAACGGTAAGTTTATTTGGTGGGAGTGGTGTTTATCTGTTTCCATGCCGAACAAAACAAAGATACAAAGCTTAGTTTTTCGCGGCCTAGATGTGATGACCTTGACGTTATATGCCGGATCCGCCCCAGCCACAAAAAGATGGTACTCCCAGGACGTATAACATTAGCGTTGTGGGGCCTCCAAAATCCGGGAAATCCTGTCTGTGCAACCGCTTCGCTTTGCCGCACCCAGATTTTTATCGCGAAGACCACAGCTCAGTTCTCAGTGCTGCTGACTTCGGAGGGGAGGTCGTTAACTTCGAACACTGGCTATACTGGGGCTGCGTTACAAGACGAATCGATGGCTGCACGGTGAACTTTAGGATTATCGAGCAAACAGAATTCCTAAATGATTGTACCTTTAAGCCGTTCATTCCCAAGATGCGCCTTGCGGATTCCCCACAGGACTACATGCGCCGAAGTTCTGCTACTCGACTGTCTTCGGAACGGAAGTTACGGTATATTTGCAAGGACCAGCTGGGTCAAGAGAACACTTACGAGATGGAATATTTCCCATCTGGAATAGTGGAAATTAATGGATTTATTCTTGTGTGTGACATCAGTCTGCAGCATTTTAAGGTGGCCAGCCGATCTGCTCGAGTCGAACGGAAACTTGTTCAGCTCAAAGCAAACATACAAAGCTTTCTAACGACCCTGATTAAGTTGAGGAAGCCCATAGTCATAGCAATTACCAAGTTTGACATCTGCTGCTCTGTATGGTTTGAGGAGCTCTCTACTTTCCTTAAGAAATCCAGTGAATTCAAAAGGATCCCTTTGATTGAAACTTCAGCACACCAAAACATCAATATTGAACAAGTTTTCTTGACCCTTTTAAAGCTAATTGAAAAGCAACGATTGTTCAAGGTAAACTCTCTGTGCTACTCAGAGGCCATTCATTTGCAAGAGAGTGAACGCGAGTCTGCTTTGGTTGCTTTCACTAAGTTGCTTTCGCATGCACCCTCGGAATTTTTAGAAAGTTGGAGTTGTTTCATGAAGAGATATAGTCAACAGGTGGACGTGGTAACCTTCACTAGCATGGTAGGCACAGAAGTGGCCCAGCGGGAGTTCGAAAAATTTGTACGATGTCAGGAATCGAACAACCGCCAAAGCACTATCAACCGAATCATCAGCACCCTCGCGATCTTCCTACCAAGCCTTGATCCTATCCGCAATAAGTAAGTCTAAAGTTTCTTCGCAGTTGTCATTACCTTCATCTTAGTTCCGCAACTTCAAGCGTCTTATCATCATATTATACATTTAACTGCATTGACCACCTCCCGTGTTTCTTTTCTCTGGCTTAACTAACTAAAACGGTTGCTGTCTGATATGCCATTCATTGATGTACCTTACTACATTCTGCTTTTAAGTTTTCGACTATAATTCTGCCTCACCTACTCAATGTACTAGCTTTTATGCGATCATACATTACTCAGGGTTGCGTAAAATTGCGATCATGTGACTATTCACCGGCTGTATTCCGTGGTCGTGGTACGGTGGCCGAGTGATCTGCACGCCTGGCTTGCAATTATAAGGTCACCGGTTCGAATATTTTACTTTTTTCACCTGGGCTAGCTCACTACTACAGGTAACACTGTCAGTGGGACATGTCCTACATTGAGATATAGCTACATAGATGTTCAACATCTTTCTCGCTATCATGACAGTATCAGTATCAGTATCGAATCCGCGTAGGGGCGTGCATCCTCGCGGTATATTCAGCCCACACGCCACTGGTGGTGGTTAGGCGGCAGTGAAGCTCCGTTACAGCATACAGCCGACGGTTCATTCATTTCAGTGACCGCCTGCGCTGCTCGGATGGCACTGTACTTTGGTACGCATTTAGGACATCTGGCTTTACCATTTTGTAATTGTGTACACAGTCATTGCCGATACTCACCGAAACACATCCGTAAATCAGCGCATACATGTGCATGATTATAGTATATGCTTACGCTTTAAATCGAGCGACAGCGTCCATCGGAAACTGATCGCGATATGGTCGGTTTGCATCCATAGATGGTTTGGGGTTGGTGGGCCCCCTGCGTCAGATGCTGTGGCGGAGGCTAATGCTCTCGAGAAATGGACTGGCATCTTCACACAGGTGTGGCAGCTACTCAGAACAATGCTCACACTGGATTGACAAATATTCGAACCTTCATTATCTTCGGATAGACGCAGTGAGAAGATGCCGTCAGCGTCATCTGAAGGAGAACGTGGGTTGAACACGGCTCGTTTCTTGTAGGTGGGTTTCCGGTAGATAGCAGATATCTATCGGTAGGGCCTCTTCTGGTTAGCGCTTCTTTCTGCATCTTACTCTTAACGAAGATTAAGGGATCCAAATCGAAACGAATAAACGGAGGTTGTCCACTTGGTTGGATTTGGTAACTTAACCGGAGTGACACCCTGAGATTGTGTGTGAGTCGAAGCTAGAAATTCACCCTCAGAGCAAGGTAGGGACTGGCCAAGTATTGCGTTTGGAGAGGGGAGTAAGAGATGGAGTTGGGACGGAACGACAAGAATAAAAAACTTGAAGATGTGGATAAGCAAAGGTGAAGTCCTGAACAGTGGTATCCTTATCTACTCCGCTCATTGCAACATATGGGGCGCAGTTGATTATCCTCTGCAACGACCATTGCATCAGGAACTCACTTGAACGGTTTAGCGTTGTCTTGTGCTTTCAGGATGCTGTCATGTCGTCAAGACTTAGACAAGATAATGATTAGGGTTCTCAATTAAAGCCTTTGGTTTGAAAACCCAACCGCAAGACGGTTACTTGCAGGTGATCCGTCTAAAGGAATAAACAACCATTCTCATCCAAACCTCCAATGTGGAGGACTAGGGGGCTGAGTTTGTCTGGACTATAACCATTGACCAATCTTACTCTGAAGGTGCTAAAACACCATCCAACGTAGCGAAATGGGTTTCATCGTCCTTCACTATCCAGTTTAACACCCCACTATAACCACTGTCTCATTATCGATGCTGAAAGGACGAGTGAACTACTCAGCGCTGTTATATCACGAACCACGCTCTGATTGCTAGACCATGTGCTGTGCATGCCAGCATACCGATCCCCGCGACGTGCGTTGTTTGCTAGACCGGGGTGTTGATGGAAGAGAAGAAGCCAAGCGATGTATTTTTCAAGAGGTATAAAGTCCCTCACTTCGAATTTGGCGTCGGTTGTCTCCCGACTGCCAAGCTGGGGTCCGAAGGACGATAAACACGTTTGGTTGGATACACCGGCGGACATGGTGAAGAACTGACCTCAGTGGTGTTTGTGTCTTTTCTTTCTCACTTTCCGCTCATCTGCCCCTTCCAGCAACGATCTCGCACTGAATGGATAATATGACCTTGCCTAGGTGCGATGCTTTGCGTGCCTCAGCGATCCATTGTGCTATGCTGGATGGTACTATTTGTCACCTTCAGAGCCACTCATACCAGACTGACTAATGGTTAGAGGCTAGAAAAACTCCTGGCTCTCCAGGTTGGGGGTTGGAATGAGGATGGCTCCTTATTCCTTAAAACGGACTCATTGTTCACTGCCAAACCCCGCTGCCTTGCGGTCAGCTTTTTGTACCAAAGGCTTCGGTTGAGAATCTTATTCGTCCTCCGGTCTAGGCTTGGGCAATCTGACAGTATCCCGCCCACACAGTACATTAAATTTCTCTTCAAACAGTTTCTTGATGCTCTGGCCGTCGCTGAGGAAAATAAACGGCGCCCCATCTGCTGCATCGATCAGGGTGCATAGGGGTTTGGATGTTGCTGTTCAAGCCTTCCCGTCTTCTTATTCACCCACTTACGCTTTTTCACCCTTATCGTCCCGTTCCAACTTCACTTTTATCCCTCCCGTTCTCAACCCTTCAATTCTTGTCCCTCCCCCACTATGCTATAATAGGCGTTTATTCTCTAGTTTCAACTCCCACGCAAACGCAGAGCGTCACTCTTGCCCGATCGACAAGCCAATGTCTAACCAAGCGCTCAAGCCCAGTTCATCGGCTTTTATTTGGAGCCCCCGATCCTCCCTCAGATTGGTATGCCTCAACGTACGCACGTTGTTACAGATTGGTCAACAGGCAGCACTTGCCCTAACCTTATAGACCCTCGATCGATATCTGCTGCCCATCGGAAACCCGCCTACAAGACCTGAGCTCTATTCTCATTCTGCGATTCCCTTCAAGTGACACTAGCAGTGCTTTCTCATTGCGCCTATCCGGAACGATGCAGCCTCGAGTACCGGCCACGCCCTGAGTCCCCGGACTGAAGCTGCTCTGGTTGGTTGGATCCCAAACAATAGCCGGATGTGCGCGGTCCGACTGACTGGGTCGTTCAAAGCTTCGAAGCCGCACTTGGCTAATAGGTATCTGTTTATCATCGCTGCATACGCCCCCACAAACTTTAGTGATCACTCGGTAAAGGACGACTTCTGTCATCAACTGAACGAGCTCTGCCACAGAAAAAGCACGGACACTGTTGTGCTGGCTGGGGATCTGAACGCGCAAGTTGGGAAATTGTCCACCATTCAGCTGCGTCTGGGCGGCCAACATGGTGTAGGCTCCCGTAATAACGGTGAGCGATTACTTCATTTGTGTGAAAAACCTCGCTTATTTCTTGCGAGCACGAACTTCCAACATAGCACTCGTTGGAAGGTGACATGGAGCCCACCAGCCTCGAACCAGCTATGTACGCAAACCGATCACATCGCGATCAGTTATCGCTGAAGAGGCTGCGTTCAAAACTGTTGTTCAGTTTGGAGCACATGTGTGGACACTGACCATACACTTTATGTTGATCTGCGGGTGCGTTTTGATGGTTTCCCTCGACGACCTTGTGAGTGCATAGACACTAGCCAACTAGCGAAGCTAGGTGTTCTGAATGCGTATCGAAGTGCGCTGGCATTCGGATTGAGTAAGCGCTCACCAACTACAGTTGACGGTCACTGGTCGCATGTTCACCAGACCTTATTAGAAGCAGGTCAGTCATCTGGTAAGTCATGGGGTGAGTCAGGTGGTAAATCCACTAGCCAAAACAGCCATTGGGTCCCCTCGCAGTCTCTGGGACTTAACGATGCTCGCCGGCACATTCCGGCTTGAAGCCAACACAACGATACTCGTAACGACATCAGGGCAAAACCCCATGCTAGCCTGAAGAGAGACCACGAATGCTGATGGTCTCATCGTGTTTCAGAGATGGAAGTGGCCGCTGCCCTTGGTAACCATCGGAAAATGTTCCCTCATACGGGAAACAAGGAGCAGGAGATCTGGTGTTAGTGAAACCATACGTGATGAGAGTGGACCGCCTATCCACAGCTTGTCAAAACGTTTGGGTCGTTGGACTGAGTGTTTTGAAAAACAATTTAATCGGTCGGAATTGTTACATTCCTCACCGGCCAGTGATCGCTGTGCTCCCTGAGCTGTCCCTTTGGATCCGTTCTCGCTCAAAGTCGAACATGCGACCTGACTATTGAGGTTGAGTAAAATTGCAGAACCAGATGATCTTCCAGCACTCTTCAAATTCGGGTGCTCTGCTTTTGTGGATGATTTACACGAATTACTATTGAAATTGTGGGAGCAGAAAACTGTCCCAACCGACTGGAACCGCTCAGTTATTGTCCCGATCTTCAAAGGAGGTTCGCGTTCAGAATGCGGAAACCAAAGAGGAATCAGTTTGATCCCTATCGCCTCCAAATTGCTTGCCTCTGTCATACTTCACAGACTGGTTGGCGTTCATTAAAGCCAGATTCGTGAGGAGCAAGGCGGGTTCCATTGTGGTCGTGGCTGCATCAACCACATATTCACACTACGTCAGTTCTTGAAGTACCGTCACAAATTGGCGGCCCACCGTTGTCGTGTTCCTCAGCATCAAAAGTGCTTTCGATTCGGTGGATCGACGTGCCCTTTGGGACTGTCTGCTAAGGAAAAGTGTTCCAGAGAAATATGTAAATATTATGCGAGCACTTTACGCGCGTAGCTCGGGCAGAGTGAGGGCTTGCGGCAGGCTGTCGTTCCCTTTCAATATCTCCAGTAGTGTAAGGCAATAATGCCCACTGTCACCTATGCTGTTCAACTTCTCTGTTGACGAAGTCATGGAATTCGCATTCACAGGACACGACTTAAAATGCGTGGATCTGCTACCAAGTGAACGACTTCTTGACTTGGAGTACGCTGACATATTGCCATCATCTGTGACAGCTCCTAAACGTGCTAAGCGGCACTGGAGAGATTAGTACTGGCTGTCACCAGTTTCTGGCTATGCTTTGCACTCTCGAAGTGCAGAGCTTTCCTCCAAGATTGGCAGAGGCCGCCTCATGCACTGACCTTTTTTTGGGATCAGCTAGAATTCGTTCCAAGGTTCTACTACCTAGGTAGTTTATCTGCACTGTCTGTATTAAAGACGAGATCCCAAGCAAAAGCTCGAGGCGCTTTTGCAAAACTTCGCCACTTATGGCGTTGGCGCTATATCACTCTCCCTGAAGGGTAGAGTGTACAATGTAGCCGTACCTTCGATCCTACTGTACGGTTGTGAAATTTGACCCGTTAGATCAGCCGACATAGAGAAACTAGTTATGTTCGACCACCGGTGCCTTCGCAGTTTGGCTCATATCTGGTGGGAACACCGTGTGAGCAATGAGCGTGTTCGACGCCTTGTCTGTTGCGCAGGGGAAAGAAGCGAACCGCTCAGCACCATTATTTCACGCACCAGACTCCGATAGCTGGCCCATGTTTTGCCCATTCCAGCCCACGGACTCCCGCGATTTACGTTATTTGCTCGCCGGGGGTATGGATGAAAGAAAATGAGAGGTGGTCAAGCGATGACTTGGTCAAGAGGAATGAAGACGCTTTGTATTTAGCCTCGGTTGGAGCCACTCGACTCCCTGGTTGGGGACCGAAGGACGATGAACATATTTAGTTGGGTACACTTGTTGCCATAGGTAGGAGCCGACCTCATTGGCGTTCGTGTTGTGACTCTCTTTATCTTTCCTTCTCTCGCTTAGCCTCCCCTCCAACCACGATCTTAATTATTATTTTTTGCGGCCCAATAGCCGGATGTTAGCTCCCCCGAACGATACCCATCCATTACTGCTGACTCAGCCGGCGTTTTTGTTTGCGGTATTGAAGTGTTTTTCACCTGCAGCTAACGTGTATAATGATGGTGATGTTACTTGCTTTTTAGTTTTTGTATTCTATAATGTTCTATGTCTTACTCTTCATATATCCCGTCCTTTGGCGGTTTCTCACCTTCAGCTAATGTGTAACGATGATGCACACTAGAGAGCTACCCACACAAAACGCCCTCTTTTATCTTTGTCTCCTTACTCATGTGCCTGTATTATATCACAACACAACTGTCATGTTTTCCATCTTTAACTTAAGTGACCAAACGATTTTTCTGTAAGACATTCTGTTTTTTTTCTTGCCTTGTTGGCCCTTTCGTTGGTGCCTTGCTTATCACCCCATCTTTATCTTATATTTGTATTTGATTCATCACAGGTCGCTTCAGGAGGTCGCACAGTACATTAGGAGTCAGGAACATTTCTCACTGTACTTTCGTGATTTCTCCGCCGATTGTGACTCCGCTGACAGACGGAATGCGACTGAGTTTGGCTCATCGAGGCATCGGGACACTCGGATTCCGTTCAGTCTTTTAATAGATACAGACTCGGAAGGTCTTGCGACTGCTCCGCTCCAATTTTACCTAGACAGGCTGACTATGGCTGAGCATTGCTCTCTCGAGAAGGCCAGATTGGAGGCGACCTTATATGCTAACTCCTCTGGTTACTCTAGTTACAGAGGCCGTGCGGATTCTGAGAACGGCAAAGTCGCGATACTCCCAGGCCAACCACTGTCTGAAATTGATCATATTATGGACATGGTGGACCTCACTGTTCTGACCGATGACGCGGTGACAGAAGTGAGTGAACCCATGTACCTTATATCCCTTTTTGCCTCTCTTAATTCATTTGCACGCATTTCGTTAACCCATTTCTCAAATATGTCTCTGATCCTTAACGGACTTAATTTGAAAGTTCGTCACCCACAGTATTTGACTCAACACCACACGAACGTCTCAGTGTAATTTTGCCTTCGCGTTCCCACCGGGTTTGTTTTATTAATCTGTTTGCGTCTACTTTTGGTGAGCTAGTGGCCGAGTGGATGGGTACTCTGGCTTTTACTCCACTTACCACTAGTCCGATAGTGCTTAGGTGCGGGCCACCTTGCAGCATTCCTAGAACACACGCTTATGATGGTATTAGTGTATTAACGAAGCGTCGGTTCGAAGTACCGGCGTAATATCCTCGTCTCGACGAGACTGGATTAAGGTGGTGCAACATTCTTAGTGCCTCCTATAATTATGATGTGGGTGGTACCTCCGAGCCCCTTGAGACACCCTTACCAGATTGTTAGTCAGGCGAACTCGTTTTTTGGTCCTTTAAGTTGGTTGTCGAAAATAGGATTGCGACCATTTCTTTGAATCTGGCTCGTTGAATCTCCTCGCTACCTTGTGGTCAGGCTTTTGAGTCCAAGCCTTTGGTACAGTACCTTATTTGTTCTCCTATTTGGCGCCCTGCCAGTATGCCAGCCCACGTACAGTCATGGCCTATTTAATCAAACTTCAACTACATCCGCCATCGCGCAGCTTCAAAAGGGACTTTTTATCTGCTGCATACAGCAAGGTGGGTAAGGGAAAACATACTACTGCTTTCCTTCTTTTCCACTCATTTCTCTCCCTACTCCCCATCACCAGCCTTCATTCTGTGATTCCACGCTTAGTTGACGGCCACTGCAATACCACTGGAGTTCTGCCATTCTAGCTATCTTTCTCCATTACCCACTAAACTCCTACACTCAGCAGTCCTTTTTAAAGCTACACTACCTCTGTCTTTCTGACGGCGTTCAGTGTGCGAATTTTAAGCGAAATAAGTTAACAGACTGCAGTTGTACTGCATTGGACTCCGTGAGTGCTGATTTCTGTTGCTTGTCCTAACTTAGGATCAATATTCCTTACGCAGTTGTTGAACTCATTGCGATGTGTTGTCCTCTCGCTATTGGTTACACGCATCTAGAGATAATGATTCAGAAACCAAAAGTGAAACCATTGTGAGCATCGTTCTCAATCCCAAGATTAAATCATCGTCGGTTGACCAGATTCCAGTGAGAAGCCGTTTGTATGCATCCCATTTGGCGACATCTGCAAAAGTTTACTTACAGGACAACACCAGACACTGTTTTTTTATACTTTCCGCTTATATCCACCATCTGCGAGCCTGATGCTACTAAGGCCATCTACCAAGAAATTAACGCGCTTCTTCGCATCGTTGCCAGTTTAGCTGTTCTATTTTTAGGTGATATAATTACGCAATTAGGTTGCATGAACTCCTCAGCTCAATTTAGTTGCAAGGATAGACTTTATTCCTAACGCATGGACAATAGTGAGCGTTTGTTGCAGTTGTGCACCCACATCGACAGCTTCTTAGTTTTAGGGCTTCCAGGCACGGTGGGCATCTAAGTGTCAGATGTTATCCTCTTATAGCTAGCAACAAAGGATCACGTGCAATGCTGATCATCAGCAAAGCAAATATTCTCATCCCAATGAGAAAATCAGGACCAGCTGAACGTTAAATCTCATCGGATCCAAACCTTTGCATAGCAGAGATTAGATGTTGTTACTGTCAAAACTGGGCAGCTAAATTGATTGCTGGGTTGTTTGAATAGTCAGTCGATAGCTATAGGCTAAGCCGTAGGTGGTGGTCCAAATGAAAAGAGAGTAAAATGTAACAAAAACTCGGCACTACAATGTACTCTGCTCAGGTACCGTTGTCCGTTGGACGGACGTACCGCTTTTGCACACAATTCGGGCCTCAAACGGCGAATGAATACTGCCTCAACAATGGAGAGGAGCTGCTTGCGTGTGCATTGCGTGAAGCGTTTAGGTACTGAGTATATAACTTTGAAGCCCTTCAAAGAGGTTGTGGCTAAAATCACGGTGTGACCTAATAGCTCTTTGACGGTCTCATTTCGCCTTTGTAGAACCAGGGCGGGATGTACTCGCGAATCCTCTAATAGGCGCCTCGTTGTGCGACCCGCGTATTGTGCACCACAGGAGCACGAGTAGTGATAAACGAGCATTAAACGGGCCAACGAGGCAGTCCATCCTTCAATGATTTTGCAAGCAATGGCTTGTAGTAAACAATCCTAATTTGGGCCCCGAAATAACTCTTCTCAACAGCGTATTTCACGCGTCGAGATAGGATATCAGCAACGGAATCGCCCTTAAATGGTAAGTGCATGAACAACTCTTTTTTAGGAGCAGTACTTTTAGGTGGCTTACGTTTCTGTTCCTTCAGATGCTAGCAAGAGATGGATCAAAATAAACAGTGGTCACAAGTTTCAGGTGTTCGAGTCCCAACCTGCACTTTCGCTCATTCTGGAATGCGTCAGTCGAATCTGGTCATGCATTGCTACACTGTCGATTTTTAGCAGACAACCGTGAGCCACATCAGACCTCTATCCATATTGGCAACAGAAATTATCCCGGCCCTCTGTCAGGCAAGCTTACCACGATACCACACATACTGAATTTTCATGCCCTTGCCCGAAGGACTTCGAGGTTCAGTTTATAGTAGTACTTTGGCCACCATGCGGATGCTGTAGCATCTGTTTGTGGCTCTATCTGCCATCATCCTATCAGTCACTGGCTATCCCAGAGAGCGAAATCCAGGAGAAACGCTTCTGACACTAAGTACAGCGCAACTGAGTGGACTGCTAGGCGCGAACCAAAATGATGTCTGCGTGCTGACAAAGAAGCCCGGGGACTCAACTGGCTGAACAATTGGATTAAACTGAATCAGTGTACAATCACTACCTACTTCCATCTGATCCGCATCATTGGTCCCCGGAAATTATGCATCGGTGGGACAGTCAAAGTCGGCGCGGGCACCCTAATCTGCAATGAAGAACGCTGTTTGGCTCATTGGACGTAGCACTTTCTAGAAAAGTCCAATAAGCCCTCTGCTTCTGGACCTCCTTGTGCTCAACCTGTGCAAACCGAACAATGGGTGATTAGTCTATGGGCTCTATCATGGATAGGATCAAAATGTGACTACATCCCTTATTCAATTTCGCGTCAATGCTCCGGATTCTCTCGCATCTGCACTATTTAAGGATAGCGGTGTGATCCTCCGCAAAGCACTGATCCACCTAGTGAAACTGGTATGGAAGGGAGAGACCATACCAGCCAACTGGAATAAACCGTTCATATTGACAATATATGAGAAGCATAGTCACACCGAATGTGCTAACCATAGGGATATGAGCCTAACGCCGATGGCTTCGTAGCTGCTGGCTTCAATACATGTCGTTGCCATACTGCGGGACGGCGCTTTCAGATTAATGAGGAACAACTGGTTTCCGTCCAATGCGAGGTTGTGTGAAACACAATCACTGCGTCACACGCAAATCAACAATGTCTGCGTTCCTCGACCACAACACTGCTTTTGACGCAGTCAGCCGATCCATTCTACTCGAAGGGTGTTCTCACAAAATACGTAAATTCTTAACGTACTACGCGAACATCACAGGCCATGTCAGGGTCTACGGCGAATTGTCGGATGCTCTTCCGACAACAGTTGGCGTTCGCTTGGGTGTCTCCATTTTTTCATTTCCGTTCAAGTCTGTCGTGGAGCATTCCCTTTCGCTATCTCATGATTCAAGTGTTGAGGTGCTCCCTGATGAAGAACTACTTAATCCGTATTACTGGGATGATGTTTTGCTATTTGACAATCTTTTGGTTACTCATTCAATTCTGAATAAACTCTGGATTGGTCCCATTAGTTAGTGCCACTTTACTCTGTGAGAATGAAAGGGTCTAAGACACCTTCCTGTCTTTGAGCATCGCAGCCTGCGGGGCATTGCTAGTGTCGGATGGCACCAGCGTATCTGCAAAGCTGTTGTGCACAAGTGAGTACTCGGCGATGATAATCAGGTTAGTTCCTTAATGCAACAATTGATGTCGATTAAGTTGCGTTTTTCTTGACGCGCGCTGCGCCCGTTCATCACTTATTGATGTTGGTTTTGTTTTACTTGTTAGATGGCTCAAAGTGGACAGTCGTTGACTTGGCGGCGAGAAATGAAGTCACTGACTACTGGGTGTTGTTGTTCCGCCTCGCCTTCCAGGCTGGAGCCCATACAACCTTCATGTTTGGCTTAATCTCTTACATGCATGGCCCTCAGTACCAGTGGCACGTCCGCTGTTCTCTGTTCAGATTGTGTAATTAAAGTGTATCCGATGTTTAGTTACTTGTGAGGCGAAACTAGTTATAGCACGTGAAAGTAAAAGCCGCAAGAAACTTGTCTCATCCATACCGCCTTGTCTTCCCACGACAGCCAGCATTTTCTCGGTCTGATGTTGACACACATCATGAATTTCTGCTTAGGGTGTTTATTTTATACTAATTTCACCCCCCATTCTTCATCCCATCATCATTATCACCGTCATCATTACACGTTAGCTGAAGACGAAAAACACGCTTCAGATACTGCACATGTACAGTAAGCTAGGCTGTATGAAAAAGCGTCGTACAAAACATCACAGAATACAATATGATGTTTGGCATCGGGCGTGAGATCATGCTTGAGGAGGAAAGATAAGCGAGAGGATGAGGGAGTAAGGAAATCACAACACAAACTCCATTGGGGCCGCATCCTTGTCATGTCAACAACTGTATCCCAGCAAACGTGTTCATCGTCCTTAAAAACCTATCCCTGCAACCGGGATGCACCAGCCGATGCCAAGTCCGACGTGAGGCTTTTCATTGCTCTTGACCAAGTCATCGCTTAGCCTCCCCTCCTCTTCTCCCATCCACACCTCGGTCGTGCAAACAGCGCACATCGCGGGACTCAGTGTGCTAGGGT